GGGAAAGAACAAACAGTTATAATACGGACAGGAATTAATTAGGAAGCTAGAAAAAACAGTATTTTTGAATCTGTCCCCTAAAGAAGTAATGTGATTAAATCAAATCTTAAATGAACATGATGTTTTAATACATGGGACTGCAAGAGGTGGTGACCTGAGATATTAAGAGATTAAGCTCAACGACCCCATAGGTCCTCTCACAGCAAAATTCCTACTTTAGGAATAATTAATGTGATGTCCTTGTAAGTGGCTGAAATTCTTGAGTCAATTTACTGTTACTGCAGGCAATGGTGTTGCATTTTTCCCATTAATTACTGTATAAAGCTGTATCCCTAAAACTGGAGTCGTAGCTTTAAAAATACTGATCCATTACCATGGCTTAATTGGTGCTTTATTGAGGAAGAGTTCTAAAGATCTCAGCCCTTACCGGGGAACTAGTTATGTACATATTTGTGCTTGAGTTTATTTATAGAAATAGTGTTAATGATTTAAATATGCACTGTTGTGAACTTGTGTGTGCCAGTTAAGGTCAGGTATATGTATATATGCTATATGAACGAATAAAAGGTAAAGACTATATATTTTACATACATGTATGTTTGCCTATGTGTATGCACACACATGCATGTTTTTAGTGTAGATAAAATATGGCTATCATGACCACAGTTTTTATTAATGAGAGAAAGGAATGAAAGTCCGTATTTGATATCTTCATCTATATTTCTTTTCACCTCCTTCCTTCTGCTAAGAGATGTCAATAACTTTTCACCTGGCCTAGGAAGTCCTGTGCATATGATTGCAGAATTGATTATTCAACTAACATGAAAACTTGATTTACTGAATAGAAATGAGAAGTTGAAATAAACTGACTAAGAATTTCTGTAAAAAATGAATGAGGTAGTTTTAAAAGACTTCCCACTCCTCCCTCCCTTTTGAAGAAAGTGTATTTGGCAATACACAATAACAGCCTTGTTCATCAGACTGACTTCTTTTTCAGGTTCTACCTGTTTTAAACAAAGCAAAAATAGGAGCACTAAAGAATTCTTGTTTTTTGTTTTAAACCTAAAACTTAAAAGTTGTTGGTGCTAGCCAGAATTTGCACAAGAGGGATAGTGGCATATAATCCTGATGTCTTCAGTACGTACTCATTAAGTGTTTATCGAATACTTCATGTTTGACTTGTACTAACAATGCTTTTTTGTTTTCTTTAAGCTATGATTAGTTACAACATAATAACAGGAGACACTTTAACTAAGGTTTTTCAGAGAATTCCTGGAGGTAAGATGCATTTAAGAATTTGAGAAAGAGAAAAATTTATTAGATAGGAATATAGTGTAAGGACTTAGGGATTGGAATACTGTTAGACTGAAGGCTTATCATTATTTTATTTCTGAATTATTTTTAAATATAATATTTAAATAAAGATACTGTCTTCCACCTTTCTCTATGAATTGGGAGTTCAAGAGGATCTAAAAAAGTTGTTTGTTGTGCGTGGGGAAATCTTCTTGTCAGAGAAGAACTATGAATCCTAGGCCTCGGTTGTCTGTGGATCCTGTGTCAATGAAGAGGCCTCTTGCTTCAGTGAAATGCAAAGCAAATCTAAAGAGTCTTCCTCAGTGGTATGATTACAAGATCATCAATGTGCTTAACTCCACTGGTGTATTTTGTGGATATTTGCTATAGTAATCATTATTTTAAAAGCAGTTCTGGTATTCATCTACTGACTAATTCTGGATGACTTGCAAATATAATACCTTTAATGCTGACTTAAGCATAGCTATGTAGTTAGTTGTGAACTGCATATGTAGCTTTTAGTTCTCTTCTAGATATTCACTGCAAAAACAAAAGTGGCATTTTGAAACTGTAGCTCACGTAGTTAGCAATCCTGTGTTGGGAGCCTTCATTCCCACACAGAGCCGGCTGAGCAATTTGTGTGCATGTTTGTCATCTGCTTTAGTAGAAAGCCAGCTAAGTTCAAACGTTCCTGACTGGTGAATTAAACTAAAAAGAACATCTGCAGTGAAGTGGAAACAAGTATTTTTATGAACTCTTTGACTTCTTTAGGGGGACTGTAATTTACAGCAGGTATGTAAAGCCTGCAAGGCGTGGGTATTCTTAACTGTCACACTGCTCTTCAGTGAGGCTGACAATGACAAGGAATATTTAATATGACTTTTGTAATAGGGGGAGCCTTCAGCATGGCACATCTTCCTACCGTTGCTGGTAGAATGCTTACCTGGAAAGTGGGAGATGAGGCATTACAATTTACTGCAAAAAAGAGGGAACTGAACACAGCTTTTCTATGTCAGTTGCAAATCGCTTTCTAGCCAAAATTATTCAGCAAACTTTTATTCAAATCCATGAATCATAGTAGTCTGACTGAAACTGAGATATATGTTATGTTCAGTTGCTGTTGGCTTAAATACCTGGTTGTAGATAAATTGCACTGACTTCAGGGAATTTTCTGACAGATACTCTCAATACCTACATGTGGTAGTCTTTGTTCTGTTAAGTGGAAGCCAGGTGACCTCAAAAAAGGACGTGCCGAAGAGAAACCCCAAAGTGAACTTATCTTAGGATTCTTCTTTATGAATTTGCTTATTTAGAACAGCACAGTGTGATCTCAACACACACTGCTAAAAACCCTCAGCAGCAAATGGGAGAAAGTAGTAGTACAATGGTTTACTTGCAGGCTACCAACATTGACTCAGTCATGATGAAAGAGATGGTTGATACTAATTTACACGTACAAATGCTAGATTTCCAGAGCCTGAAATAGCGTCCTATCCCATACGTGATTACGCACTTAGTTTGAGTTTGCAGAATTCTTATGATTATGCGTGTCTTCCTCAAGCTTAACTAACGCCTAGTTTTTATTTCAGTGTTACTCGGCTTGAATAAAGGAAATAAAACCATAGTCAGTATCAGAGTTTGTGTGTGACTGCCAGCCTTTCAAATGCAGCTAATCTGTTTCTCATGTCAGTTTCTGAGAGAAATAACATACCATTTTCTTTTTTGTTTTAGTTGGACCAAACAATATACTTACTGACCGTCATTTCATAATTCTTTTTACCACCATCATCTTTACCTTACCTATATCTCTGTATCATGACGTAGCAAAACTGGGAAAGGTAAATCATAATAGCAGTGGGGTTTTGATTTTTGTTGGTTCACTTTTCTGTATGCCATTACAACATAAGTGCCAGTCATGACTTAAGCTTCTAGCATTGCATTACATCTGACCAGAATCTGTTATATACTTTGTTAAGTTCAGTCTGTCTTCTGTCCCGAGAAATATCAGAAAGTTTTGGAGAGTCTAGACAAAAAATCGATCTCCAAATAAAAAGCAGTGAGTCATTGTATTTTCCCTTTATTGCTAATAGAAATCACTGGCTGATTGAAGCATTGGATGATAATGGGCCTGATCTTGAAATAATATCACGGTTGATCCCAAATGTTTAAGTGGGAAGTCTCTGTTACAGTTAGAGATACGGTTGCAATAGGCTGGTTATGAAAACAAGAAAATCTAGGACAACCTGCTCATTTATGAATATTTGATGTTTTTGATATTTAGAAACTTGTTTATTAACTATTCCTTTTTAAAGAAAGCAGATTATGCTGCTAAAAATGAGAGAACTGTCAGCAGCTCACAAACTAAACTTGTGTTTTTTTCTTTACAGGTATCTCTTACTTCTCTGATTTTAACGATTGTCATCCTGGTTATTGTGATGGTGAGGACAGTAACATTCAGTCCACAAGTGTAAGTACTCTTTCACCTGTCACAAAGTGATTTCTAAGTTATATAACCTGTTATGACTCTTATATATAAAAAATAGATATATATGCACATAGTTTTGGAACATGGCCGTTTTCTTTTGGGAGAGAGAGACGTTTGAAGAAACAGGCCTGTACTAATAGCAATACAAAATGAATGACTAAAGCTTACTTGCATGCAACTGAGGGGTGAAAAGGGGTAAAGTCACAAAAAGTCCCCCCCCAAAACTGCCAGTGAGTTGGTAGTTGCAGGTAATGTTCCCTAATTTATAATATGTGAGGTTGCCTAGCAGTTGGGAGTTCTATTTTTGTTCATTATTGCCATCTGGCCTATGTCTATATCCTTCAAATGGGTAGTATTCTAGGAATATTTCATTTTTTTGTGACTATAATCACTCCTTAATAAAAATTGAATACAGATTTTAAAAAGTGAACAGTACAGTAATAAAAACATTATTTGGACATTTGAGGAAAGCAATCAAATAAACATGAAATGGTTTTTCCAGCTTTTTTTAATTGAATTGTAAGAAAGTGTTATGACTCTATCTTTCATTTATGGCTTAAGATGTCTACTTTATCCCTTTTGCTAAAGCAGACTCCTATCAAATGTGAAATTATTTGAATAAAGAAGATAGACTGTCCATTTCTGGTTACACTTTCTATTGATTAGGATAGTTTACATAGTGTTTCCATTGTTTCTCTAAGTAGTAGATTCTTCCACTATGATTGTGTCAGCAGTGTCACATGTAAACTATACACATATCTTATTGTAGTGAATAAGTGGGCTAATTGTATGGCGTTCATGTCTTAATGCTGACAAGATAGTTAAAATAGCAGCCTTTAAGGCTGTGGCACAGAAATGCTCATCATCCATAAAAATGATTTACTCAGAACAATATGAGACTTTCCCTCTCTTTCTTCAGTGGAGCAATATAGTAAGCAATGTGTTTTTCCATAGTGTGTGCCTTAAATGTATATTTGAAAGGGAAATCTCAAAACCTGCTAAAAAAGGAAGCTATATATAATGGCTACTGATGACCTTGTTACCTGTGGTAACATTTCGTCTTAACGGTGGTGGTGCATTGAAAAATATGGGATGTACAACTTTATTTTTTTCTTACAAAATGTAATGTTGATTTTTGAGGGATTCTCGCAGTCTTACTGTTAGATTTTTTTTTTTTTTGATGCTGTAGACACTTTTCCATTATTCCTTTATACTTCTTGTTTTCAAAAATTCATCTGATAACGTTTTTGGTCTTTTAATGAGACTAAAGAACCTAAGAACTGCAGCTCTCCTTCTCTGTGTAAAGCATACTTTTTGTTCCACCTTCCATGTTATTACTGAACGTATTCAGAAGTGCTGGACTTGGGTCAGATTCCGGTGGAACTCTGTTCAAAAATACTCCCACTCTGATTACTACTCTCTGAGTAGTACTGCTCTCTGAGTAGTAATCAGTTTTTACCCACCTTTTACTCCAGACTTTCAAAATGAAGATTATGCCCCCTTGAGAGATATGACTATTATCTGGGGATGATAAACTTCCCTTTTGCTTAAATGTAGTGCAATTTCTACTGGAAGGTAATATGTGTTATTAGGCCAACAGAGGTTATTCTCCCTCCCAGAAACCTCCAATATGTTGTGCTAGGCCACCAGAAGAATTTTTACTGCTTGTAATGCTTTGATGTTTTGATTTTTTTAAAATATTTTTTTATTTTTTTAAGTTGCTTTGGGAATGGAGAGACTTGTTCAGGGACAGTATGGGAGTGTTGCTTTTTGTGTTAGTTTGCAAGAAAAAAATACTTATTTGTGATGAGGGGTTTTTTTGATTTAATTTATTTCCTTTTTATGATAAATGCAAAACAGAGGTACTTGCTTTTGATCAATATCATCCATGTAATCATTGTTATCTGCAGGTATGTTATATTCCTCAGACAACATCCAGTGCCCTGAATATAGAGCTTATCCTCAATAGTTTTAGATGTTGAATAAAAATAGTTAGATGATCCTTTATTTCCAACTGCTTGTAGCCAGATATCTTTCTAACGTGCTCAAATACAGTGGGTTAAGATTATCTCAAGCTGTAAACGTCTTCCGATATGTTAACACCCTATAAAGTAACTTCGTTGTTCAAAGATGAAATTAACATTCGTTGTTTTAGAAGACAATATTGCATATAGCTTATAAAGATGGGTCTTTTCAACTTGGGTGTTCTTTTTGAAAGAATGCCAAGATGTCAATGTCTGCATAATAAATCTCCAGGAAAAACTTCAAGAGCATCTGTTACACATAAATGGGATGTGAGCATTACTCAACTGGCAGCTGATCAGAGGGATGAAACACCAAGTATTCAGGAAACTAACTTAGAAGTAGAAAGTTGTTTACTGCTAGATTATTTAGAAGCAGGGAAGAATCAAAGGTAAACTTTAATGTACGGTGAAATTTCAAAAATAAAACCAACGCTACCTTGTATTTACAGGATTGTTAGGTAACTCCTTAAGCAAAAAGGGGAGTTAAAGCAATTGCAACTTAGTGGGACTATGGCAGATATCACTTTACCTTCTCTTTGTTCTTCAGTGACAAAAATGACTTTGATTAATGTGAAATTCAAGGTTAACCTGAGCATTAATCATTTCTTTTCAGCTATGCTGACTGAAATTATATTCAGTGTCTGTAACTCTTACAGTTTAAATCAAAACAGAAGGATATTCTACCTTTTTTTTTCTCTCAATAGAACTGAACTCAGGTTTTAGAGTTATTTTTTTTGTTTCTGAAATCTCTAAATCATTGAATTAAACTTGAATTAGTCTGCCGTGTATTCATTCATTATCAGTCATCTCAGCACCGGCCAGTTGGAACCTAAACATGACTGTTTTGTCCATTATCTTTAATCCAAAGCTGTATAAGACTCTTGCAGATTCCAGCATGTAGCTCCCTTCAGTCAGAAGTGTGACTACTTCCTCCTTCATTGAAACAAAAAAGTGAATTTGTAGTCTTTCATATATATGCTAGTTGGGTTGAGGTCAGGGATGTATGCTTCTCTCTACCCTCCTTAAAAGATAATTTTCTTCTGATGTACTCTGTCTCATATTTGGCAGCCTTTCTGCATAAATGGCAGCAGACTTCTGCAGAGCCTAGTTATGGTAAATGCTTGACAGAAAGAAGTAGACTTGCTGTTCTAGACTACCAAAACAATTTCCCTGGGCCTTGCTTATGATTTGGATGTGATGTGCCTTTTACTGCAAGAAGGGGTGTTAACCTTTGCTTGATTCTCTCTTTGTTTTCTTTTTTCTTTTTCTTTTCCCCTATTCTTGTGTAGGTAAACAGTGATCACTTTTTAAACCTAATACCAGGTTTATTATGTCTTGCTGTCTATTAAGTATGCTGAAGACTGAGTAGGGTCACCACTAGGCTTCACCACCTCCCTATAGACAATTTGAATTGTCAGTCTCTCTTGCTGCTGTCTTACTTTCAATTGAGACTTTTTCCTGACTAGGGTCTCCTTTGGAACGTCTTTTTGTCCAATCCTTTATTTTCATTCCAAGAACCACAGTTACATTACCTCTCAACTTTTATTTTGTGTTACAACTTAGTATTATAAATACTACAGCTCTCAATGACTGCAGTTAGCACCGTACTTCTTCCTGTTAACTTCCATTGTTTCCTCTAACTTCTGCTGCTTCTAGAACAGTAAATAACTTTGTTTGTACAGGCATAGCTTGGTTTCCTCATTGAGTGAGGAGCAACAAGCAAAGAAAATTCCTGTTTCTACAGCTAGCCAGTTTCATCATTCACAGATATTCACAGCTACTGATGTTCTTATGTGGGCAGCAGTTGTAGTCTTCCCCTAACTGTTCCTGACAGGAAGGTAGGTAAAACTGGGTCAGAGCAAAGGTCCATCTTGTCAAATCGCATCTTTAACAGGAGCAGCAGAATGGTCAGAGCGCTTATAGAGAGGATTTAAGAAGCAGAACACACACATGCACACATCTGGATGGTTATGTGTATTTGCCTTGAATGTGTATTTGCCTTGATCTAGGTGTGTGATGTGCTTATATCTGGACTGCCATATTTACCAGTAGGTCTTGTCTTGGTGAATTTTTCAAGTCTCTGTAGACCCACTTATATTTTTGGCCTAAAAGTGTATATTGCATGGAATACTGTCATACAAACGTTTTGCTTGAAGCTTCATACCTCATATTTCTATGAGGTGGCTTTGGTCTTGTGAGACATTTTAAGTAATTGTTCACTGTGCAGGTCTTCCATAACTGACCACTAGCATTTTCTGGCTCAATTTTTTCTTTCCTGATCTGAAGTCTTACCTGATACAAACTCACTTTTGGCTCACCTACACCCTTTTCCAGAAGCTTTGTGTAAGTCCCTATATCCTGCAGACTGGACGCAGGGGAGATTGATTAATGATATGATCAGAACTCTGGGGCTCTTGACTCTTAGTTCTGAGCTCTCAGAAATTTATCATATTTTCACTTTCTGGTTTATGTATTACATCTGTGTGAGATCCCTCTACTGCTAAGGTATGAAAGTGTTTTTCAAAACACATGGAAGAGTATGACTTACTGTGGGAAACAGTAAACTACCTACTGTTGAGTGTGTCATGCATGTATATGTGCATGTATGACACTAATCTGCTGGTAGTGTTCAAATCATGGGTCAGAAGTTCCATTCTACTCGCGGAATGGTGGAGCAAGCAATGCATCTTATGTTGCTGGTTAAGCAGGATTTTCTTTTGGATTTTTTCCCAAATACTTCTACTCTGAATTTTATGGTAGTCAACCACAAGGCAAAGCTGTATTTCAATCTGATGTGTAAGCCAACACTCTGCAAGGAGAAAACTAGCGTGTTTTGGTGTTTTGTTTTGTTTTTTTTTTAAACTGATTATTTGGCCGCTTTATTCAGAGCGTTTCAACTGAAATTCACATGCTTTCTATGTTTCTTTTTTAAAAAAAATCCCTATTTGCAGGAGTTTACTATATAGGATATATCAAGTGCAAAGGGTGTAACATTTCACAGAAAATAAATGTTTGGACTTAAAATAGTTTATGGCTTTTAGATCAAAATGCATTTCCAAAAAATACATTTTTATTTCTACAGATTTAAAAATATTTCAGTACTAATTATGAACAGAAAAGAGGCCAGGAGACTTTCACAAATCTGTCATCAAAGGAAGATTTAAGTTTCCTTTCTATATGCTTGATATCAAAGCTGACCTCCAGTGGTTATAGAACTGAAGTGTTGTAATGTTACTTTTATAGAATCTTGCTTTATTTTGTAATATTACTGATTTTCATGTTTATCTGATGTGTTTGTTTTCTGAAAAACAATACATATACAAAGTTCTGAATATGAATTGTCCAGTCATCTCTAGTGATTTGAAATCAGTTCCTTATATGGAGTAGCCTCTTAACTTGATGCCACTACCATAGCTATGGCTGGTCAGAAGTCCTATTTCACAGGATAAATGCCTGATGGCTCTATTTCATCCATATTGTTCATTGTATCTGCCTGCTGAGTCTGAAAATGTTTTAGGAGGGCCACATTCATCTACTCAAGACAGTAAATTGTAGGTTAACAGTAGTCAAGACAATATGCTACTTTTGAAAACAAAAAACTAAGTTTGATTTTGATGCTTGGGTCCAGTTCACCTCAAAGTTAACCTTAGCAGCATAGCCTAAGAGCACAGAAGATGCTCTGTCTGTATCAGAGCTGAATGTACATTGGATAACATAAATTCTGTTTCAGGTTCTCAAGAAATAGTAAGATATGAGTTCTGAAAAGGAGCAAACAACAGTAGTACTCCTAATAGGATTAACAAATTTGGCAACAGTAAAACCTAACATACTGTATGCCAGTGGAGCGAGCAGGAAAAAAGAGCTGGTTATCGTCAAACGGGGGAGAGACAAAGCTGCTGTTATCTTCGCAGAACTGGCCTGATTGCCACCGCTTTGTGGGGCAGTAAGAAAATCATAGCTAAGGCCTTAGGTGGCAGGAGCTTTCCCTCTAAATGAAAACTGAGGAATCAAAATTAGCAGCAGCCAACCTTGTGAGCACAAGCTACTCTGCTAATGCTTTGTCTGTGCTTTAACATTAAAAAAAAAATAAAATGTTTAACCGGCTTGTGAACTTCATCTGATGTTTTAGAAAATTGCAAGTCAGGAAAAGCGTTTCCTGTCCTTCCTCTTTCCTGCGTTTTGTTTCTGTAGTCAGAGATGTCCATGCAGAAAATGGATTGTAACTAAGATTGACTGTTTTCTGTAGTCCTTTTTCGAGAATTACAATTACCCTCAATCCAAATTAGTGGGTGATCTATCTTAGAAGAGCAGATATGGAGGATGTTATATTCTTTCTTGCCTGGTTATAAAATCAAATGCAAGAAAGTATATGGAGAATTTTATCACTCTTGGGAGCTGATAGGATCCCCTCACTGTGAGGAATGTCCTCTTAAGTGTGGCTGTTACATTGGCCAGAAGGTTTGATCAGGTATAAATCAAGACAAACTTTCTCATTTGATTTATGGCCAAGGAAGAAAGTGTCTCCAGGCTCTGTAGATTACCTGTGCAGATTCAAAGGAAGAAACTGTCTCTAAATAGTGAGAAGAGATTTTGAGTTGACATAACTTCAGCCAGGATCACTAGCAGCTTTTACCCTCCCAACTGTGGTTTCTTGAGACGTGGAGATTTTAAGAGATGTTTTATTTACAGAACTGATCACTGAAACAGGCTAACATTTTTGACCCTACAAACTTGTCCCTGAAATACCTTCCCTGAGACAAGGGAGGTGAAAAGGGCATCTAACAGTGTTCAGCTTTCTTTAATGAATACTGTGGCCTACCCTGGAGAGTTTTGAGGCTCTAACTAGCAGTTTTGTATTACAGCACAGTATTTTACATTATTTTAATAACTAATAGTTGAAAAGAATAATCTATTAAAACAAATCTGTTTTAGACCCAAATCAGAAAATGCTTGGATATTTGCAAAATCAAATGCAGTACAAGCCATTGGGGTGATGTCATTTGGTAAGTCAGTTCCTCGTATTTTCAGTCTTTAGCTTGACTGTTCTTAAAAAAGAAGTTTAATATTTTTGGATCTAGAAATAGTGTATTAATTTTTTTGATCTTCATGTTAAGTTAGTTTAGAAAAAAATAAAGTTGACTGAGTCATCCTTAGGTGAGTCTAATTGTTATGATTTAAATCTGTGTTCCCATCCACTCTCCATCCTGTTGCAGAGGCTATTGCCTCTGTAGTAGAAACAGCAGTCTGGGACATGTGAATAGCTCAGCTGTCCAGTTCATAATTCATATATTGAAATATCTGAGCCAATAGTTTTAGTATGATTCATAAACTGGTGTGGTTATGACGATTCTGCTTTCTCTTGGATAACCTTTAACAGAAAGGGCTTATGCTGGAGCATGCAGCTTTGCTAGAGAGCACCTGTCACTTCCCACAGTGAACCTTTTCGGATGAGTCTCAACTCGCATACGTTATCCTCATTCTAAAATCTGTTACCACCTGGTTATCTGGTACACTACTTCTTGTTAATGCTGTGGCAATCTGAGGCCTCCCTCTGCTTGCTGCTACCTAAAATGCAAATCATAGAAAGTCCAAAGTAGCAAATAGCTCTGTGGGAGTTCAAAAGTTCTGCTGGATTCTTGTGCTGAAGAGGCAAATGGGAGGAGGAAGTGAACTTGGAATGGAGGTGTGGATAGGGGGTGCTGGGAAGAAACAATGTGGCGTATTAGAATAATGTAATCAGAATCACACCAGAAGGAACAGGAAAGATCAACCTACACTGAATCAAACAAGTAAATAAAAGTTCAAGCCTTTGAAGTTCAAGTCTTTGCTACTCACTGCAGGATTAATGTTTTTATGTAACAATGAGAGGATTCAAACTATGCTCTCTCTCTCCTGCCTTGGAATATACACTCCACTATTTTTCTTTTTTTCTATACATATGCATAAATTCATGTATTTGCTTTAATTGTGATGTGTGTTTCAGCATTCATTTGCCACCATAACAGCTTTTTAATCTATGGCTCTCTGGAAGAACCTACGTTAAAGAACTGGTCTCGAATCACACATCTGTCTGTCTCGCTCGCTGTTGTTATCAGTGTAGTGTTTGCTGCATGTGGCTACATGACTTTTGCAGAATACACAGAAGGTGAGCTGCTCAATACACTTATTTTGATGTTCATTGTAATCCTTATGTTTTCACCTCTCTAATCTGAATTCTGTTGCTAATATATTATTAGGTGCAGAAGTACCAAAGCCATATGATGTTTGGAAAGAAATAGCTAGTAGAAAATTTCCTTGTAGGTATCCGACAACCAAAACAAGGGTACAAAGTTAGCTGTATGCTACGAGGTGACAGACTCCCAAGTGTAAGCCTCACTGGTGAAAGCTCCTATCAGATGTTTCCATAATCCAAAGACTTCTGAGGACTAAACATCCATAATCTATCCACATGGTTTTCCAACAGAGCAGGAAGAACAAACTGCCTATGTTTTCCTGTGAGGTGCCTGACATTTATTGCTGTATGTTTTCGTATATCGTTTCCTGGCTGTGTTAATATAGCATCCTAGCTTATACCACAGATGTTCTGCTGTAATTAGTGCTACTGTCACCTCTGTGTGTGTTTTTATTAGTGTATTAATACAATGTATATTATGCTAATACACATTGAGGCAAAGAATGCTTATACGGACCTTCCTCTATTTAATAATGCTGTTTCAAGTTGTAGGAGGAGGTTTCTTAGCTTTGTCCTCTTGCGATGAACAGCAGAATTTAGCTGAGAACAGAGGCGTGGGGGGGGTCGTGGGGGGGGAGGCTAGTTGGTCTTTCCTCTTTTTCCCTCCTGTCTCCTGTGCTGTTTATGCAGGAGAATAATTTACTCTCAGATGCAATTTTCTAGCCAGTCTAAGTGCAAACTGACTGAGACATTTCAAGTGTAGAAAGCTCTTGACTGCTACTCCTTGGCATATGACTATATTGTAAATGGATTCCATTTTATCTTCTAGCTCTCCTGTCAAAACCTTGTGTCTGTTTTCTCTAGAGTACACCTGACTGTTTCTTTAGTGCCATGGTGATCCTGGAAGTAATGAATCATAAAGATAGTATAGTAAAAATGAGAGGTAGAAAAGAACCGTTTTACAGTTTCTTTTGTGTGTCAGGGATCATCATTCCAGGCTCTTTGGTGTAACCACTAAGCAAGGTGATTATTTGAAATCTCTAGCCAGGCTTTTGTTAGCAGACACAAAGACTTGCTAGTTAATAATCCATTGGTTTACAATGGGCTTTCAAAGTCAGAATATTTGAAATTCTTCAATACAGCTTATCAGCTGTGATTAGATATCATAAGGAAAATGCAGTTCTCCAGAGGTATCGTGTTGGATCTCCTTGTGTAATTATCCTTATCCTAAGAATAACTTTTATAAAGGAAATGTTTTTCTTATGTACAACTTTGTTTAAATCAGCAACAGATTTAAAAAAAAAAAAAAAAAACCAGCATCTCATACAAAATCACTGCAAAGAACTGCCATGGAGAAGATAACACATGACAAATGCTACAGTGTGTGTGTGTATGTATATATATATACTTTTTTTTTTTTTTTAAAGATAAATGCTAATTCAAATCAAAATACTGCTACTGTCAGGTCAGGATAAAAGTTCCTTCTGGATGTAATTTGTCACTAACTATAGTTTCTTGATATGTATAATGAAAGTAGGTCAGAAAGTCTTAAATGTCAGTAGAAAGTTGCTCCAGTAACTTACATTTCAATTTGAAAATATGGAAATATCATGAGGTTGAAAATAATTGATGTTTTGCTATGCTTCAGGAGATATATTTGAAAACTACTGTAGAGATGACAACCTTGCTACATTTGGAAGGTTTTGTTATGGAGTTACTGTAATTCTGACCTTCCCCCTTGAATGTTTTGTGACCAGAGAGGTAAGAATTTATCCTCTTCCTGTAACAATGTTGCTATATTAATATATATTCACTGTGCTATTTATATATAATAATACGTATTGTAACTGTAGTTGATGGGTGATATGTAAGAAATATAAACACATCTTATCGTGTTGTGTGCAGTGAATATGAAGTATTAGGTGCACCACTTAGATTCTGGCAGTATAATGCTGTATTATATTTACTATAATATCCAGTATTAGACTAATAATTAATGATCAGTATCAGGACTGCCTAAAATTCAGTTTAGTATAACTACTATTGTGGTCATTGTGTTGCGAATAGCTGAGTTTATAGTAGATATCTAGTAGATTTATAGTAGATAGTAGATACAGTATTTATAATTGACACTTATCATGCTTACTAGTTTTGCTTATGGAAGGGAGTCTGTCCATCTAGGAAATACTTCTTTTCAATAAATATCTCCCTGCTATAGATATAAACAACTTGCAATAGTTGAGAAGGAAATAGTTGTACCATGAAATTATGATTTTTAGTAATACTTTTACTAAAGTATTTTACTAAGTATACTAAGTATTTTACTAAGTATAATCTTTTACTAAGATTTTCTTGAAGCAAGGTGCGTAAAGTTGAGTCAGTATGCTTTCACCAATTCTTTTCATTTCCTAAAGTTAGAAGATGTGCAACAAGCTGTTTGTTAAAAATAAAGAGCAAAAGTGAAGCTTTAAACTGTGATTCCGTTTCAGGTGCTTGCCAATGTGTTTTTCCATGGGAACCTTTCAACAGTTTTACACATTATTGTGACAGTAATTATTGTTGCTGTGGCAACTGCTATATCCTTAGTGTACGACTGCCTTGGACTAGTTCTAGAGCTGAATGTAAGTGAACTTGAATACTCCTTGTATTTAATAAATCACTTTTTAATAAAGCAAATTCTGAAAAATCCACAGCTCTGCTAAAAATCTGTTTAAGTACAAATATGGTATTTGGTTAGAAATGTGAGAGAAGAATTCACTGCTTTAAGGTAATTAAAGGAGAAAGGAAGTTCAGGAAGGCAAGTTCACTTGGAGGGATTTCATAACAATTTTGGAGGTACAGCAAGTAGCTGAGACTGTTGAATGTTTTTAAACTGCAGTGATGATCTTTAAAATATTCATGCTATTGGTACTGCAGGGTTGATTCCAATGTCTTTTTTTTCTAGCCCCTTTTTCTGATAAAGTAGGCAAATTACTGAGTTTTGTTCTCTGTTAAGCCCAAACAGGGAAACATTTCAGTTCCTATCTCTGTGGGTTCATTACTACTGGTTCTGTGGGAGGTTCTTGTTCACTTTTTTTTGTTGGTTGTTTTTTTTCCTCTCTTTTAGCACAAGGCAATCATTAGGATTTGATAATCTCATAATCCTAAGTATATGACCTTAGGAGAGAACTATTTCACATGCCAGTAAACCTTCCTGTGTCTGACACTGCCTCAGAACAGAGATGGAGTTTACCGTGCAGGCCGCACAAGGTGCTTCTTAACTTTAACACCTTTATATAACTTGTAAAGGCAAAACTTGTTTGTGCTGATTGGAACTGCAGTTTAGTCTACTGAAGTTCTAGACCATCAGTTAACAAAATGGACTTACCAGATGGGGTCAGTCTTATGTGGGCACAAAATGTACATTTAATCAAAAGAAGTCTTCAAAAATGGGTACAAAAATTCCATTCTACTTTTATGACAAGGGTTGTTTGTCTCAGCTGTTTACCTTCAATTTCAGGTCAGCTATTTTTGATACTATAAAGTAGGTGTGGGGATCTCATACTTCAGGATGTAAAAGTTGGAAAGTGGAGAAAACTTTTTAAGGACAGCCTTTGCTTTTTTTCATAGAAATATTTTAAAATTGACAATACAGCTGTGTATTTCTTGGATATAATCCTTTGACCAACAAAGATTGTTCAGAGTCTTGTTTGCCCCCGTGGAGGTAAAAAGAGGAGGCAGAGTGTTTACATAATAAAGGTAAAAAGATCTGCTTTCTCAGCAGGCTCCGTGCCCAACAAAAGGGCTATCTTTTGGTTCTTCACCCAAAAGGGCACATACTGCTGCTTCTCTGACTCTGCTTACTACTTCCATACTTTCTGGTTTTAAAACAAAGCACAAGCCATTGTGTTTATTCTGTGGTAACTTGCCAGGGAAACTTGCGGGGTTGTACCAGAGTCGTGGGTCTGCAGAGCTACCTGTACTAATCTTTTACTTAGATGCTGGTTTGCACTGCCTCATGTAATTTGAGTCTCTCTGTCTGTCTCTCTCTGTCTCTCTTTTTTTCTTTTATGAAAAAGATGCTTGTTATGTTCATTTATTTAATGTCTGTACTGATCACTGTTAATAGCTTCTACCATAAAAGTATACATCAGATTCTACATGCATAAAGATATTCAGGAGGTCAGATTATTACCTCACCGTAATTGAATTAAAACAAAGCAGGATATTTGAGATTTCTGTGTAAAAATGCCCTTTTTGATGTATAACTTTTATTTTAAGATGTAGTAGTTTTACTGTAAAAAGCAATTACACATGTGCTCACATCTGTCCCTGTTGAAGAGAGCACTTAAATGGAAGCTGAATTTTTTTAATAAGAGGGATTTGCACTCTGTCAAAGGGAGCTTTACCTTCCTAGGGAAGTTATCCTGAATCAGGTCATAAATGCAGGAGTGTTGTTGGTCAGAATTCTTTGAACTGCTACGTGATGTTTCTACTCTTTTTTTGTGAATACTAAAAGTAATATGTAAGATCATTCCATGTAGGAGTCCAGATATATTTCACACGGTTTACAGAATTCTAGAATTATTACATTTTGACTTGACTTTACTGTACTTTTGGAGCTGAGAAACTTAAAGAAACCTTATCTAATAGTATTTGCAACATAAAATACCGTTCTGTATCAGCAAACACCAGTATGTAAATAAGCCTGAATTATTTCAAATATTTTTACAAGTATTTTTGAAAATTGTGACTTGAAAAAGAAAATTTTCTATCTAGCAACACTGGAAAAAGGTTTCCATTCTCCAGCTTTATTCTTGCTTCAATCTAGTCATTAAAAATCATGTAGGTTATTGTTCTTCACATCTCAATAAACTTTCTTACAAGGTTCTTGTTATTTTTTTCCCACGCACAGGGAGTCCTCAGTGCCACCCCGCTTGTTTTTATCATCCCAACAGCATGTTATCTAAGGCTGTCCAAAGACCGATGGAACCATTCAGATAACATCGTATCCTGCCTGATTCTTGCTGTTGGTGTACTAGTGATGACGGTTGGGTTTGTTTTGACTATGCTGCATCCCCAGGAATGTAGCCATGGAAAAGAAATGTTCTACTGCTTCCCTAGTAATGTTTCTTTTCACAATAGTACGCTTCCACCCTAGTAAATACAAAAATCACCAGGCTGTAGATCAGGTACATCTCCCAGCAAGCGATATGCTAATTTAAATAAGATTGGAATAATAAAGAGCTTTTGGGTTTTCATATGGGCTGAGATTTTTTTTCACTGTATAATTGAATTTATACATTTGGTTTTAGGCTGCAGTCCTTTTCCAGATAAGATGCAAGTTTTAACTTTTGAAATTGAAATGCTCTGAAATGCATTTCAGTAGGCATTACTTTAATAGCTTGCACACCTATTAAAAGGCAGCATTTTTTTAAGTTAATGAGTGAGCAACACTGCTTAAGCCATAAATGCTGTGTTTAAGAATATAAACCTGTTCTATGATTGATGTCACTTATTTATTAACTTTATAATCTTTTAATGTGTATTTATTAGCATACTGTAGTATATATTTTTTTAGAGTCCTGAAACAGAGACCCAGCCACATTCTGTTTTTAAAATTGTGCTTTGAAATTGGAAGACCCCTATTAATTCTGTGCTTGATTTAGAAGTAATTGTCCTTAAGTGCTGAAAGTATCCTGTGTGCTGGGTCTTAAGGGCAATTTTTTATCCTTTCTGAACTGTAACTGATACAATTGAACTATACCAATTACAATTTGTGGTCTTGTAACTGAGGGTTTTTTAATTAATAAAACCACACAGGTGAATTTTAAGTTTCAAGTAAACATTCTTTGCAAACATTGCAAGTCTGACAGAGGAGAAAGTGCGTAATGGCTTATTTCTTACACTTATAACCCATTATTTATTACTTCTGAAACTGAATCGAAATGTTGAAACAGATCTTGTGTAGTCTGAGCAAATTCTATTTAAAAAAAAACATTATTAACTTAGTTATCATTCTAGTCCTATGATTTTTTTTCAGTATTTTGTCATTTATTTCGGATTTGGTCATGGTTTGTTGGTTTGTTACATTTTGGTGATTTCTGCTATTTTCCAAAATGCAACCAACATTAAGGATTTATCTGTAGGCCTATAGAATATGAGTAATTTATTGCTGGTAAATGATCGGAAGGATGCACCATGTCCTCTGTCATTGCTGATATTTGAAAGTGTTTTGTTTTTGAATCAACTTGTGTACTTTGAGTTTTTGCAGTATCTTGAGATCTTTGATTCCGTTTGCCAGCTGTTCCTTGACAACTGGGTATGCTGCTAAATAAGAGGGTGAATTTTTTTGTCTTCTCTTCATCCTGCATGACAAAGCTATTTCAGTCAAGACTTTCATGTAGACCAATTGTGAAGCAGGTGTCAGGAGGAGGTGATGGTGTCCATAGGACTAATGAGTAAAAGTATATATGATATACTTCAAAAAAAAAAAAAAAAGTGCTTTCATAATGAGAAATGTTTTTAAATATTGTTGATTTGGGGGGGAACTGTTTGAGAGACTTGGATGTGTTAGTCTGTTCTGTTTTCACTATGTAGTTATTTTGAATGCACTGTTTCATCTGCTGGCTAGGCAACTGGTACTATTGACAGAGCGTTTTTCAGCTGTTCAACGATATAGCTGATCTGTCTTGTATGTTATGTATTCACTGAATGGACTCCCATTCTTCCACGCCAAATGGAATTAGACTTGGCTAATATTTCCTTATGACAGCTGATAAAGATCATTTCAGATGAATTAGGAAGGATTTGATAGCTTTTCTGTTCTTTTCCTCCCTCATCTGATTTAAAAAAAAAAAAATTTTTTTTACTTGAAGTATTTTTATTCTAATTTAAGGTATTAATTACAAGCATCCTTGCTTTGGAAGATCAGAGTCAACAGAATAATTTATAGGATGCCATCATAGCATTGCTTTTTTAATTTAAAGGTTCTGCTGAGGTTATGCTAGAATTAAATGATGTATACTAGTTTTATGAAGACAAGTCTTTCTATGCCTTACTATTTATTATATAAATACAGAATTAAATAAAATGGTTTCATGATGTTTTTTTAATTTGAAAAGTGTAGAGTCTGAGGTAGTAATGGTCTGTGAAATGTTTGTGTTGCTGATAAAGCTATAATAGTTTCTTTTGCCAAAGCTAATTGCATTCATTTCAGCATATAATCGTGGATGCCTCACTGCCTTTATTTCACAAACTTGCTAAGTGAAATGGAGCTCTCCCAAGCATAAATATACTGAAGAGGCAAAATTGGATGTCCTGAATACCAGAATTTAAAGTTAATTGCTCTTTGGCTAATGACTTTACACAAGCTGATTCCTTCCTTTCCAATATTACATACTATAACTTATCTGTATAGAAACTGCAAATAATGATCTCCTATATCCTTTCTTATGACACAGGAGGTCTGAATGCAGAAAGAAGCATTTTTTTTTATTGTCATCATAAAATTGTCATTGCCATAGTGGGTTTTGGAAAAAAATAAGACTCCCCCAAAATTAGTTGTTGCTATGATCAAAAGCAAACAGAAAACATCTAAGGATATGAAAACAGAGCTCATAAATATATACGCTATTGGAGCTGGAATTACCGCGGCTGCTGGCACCAGACTTATCTCCTGGGAAATATGCTGTAGAGGATGCTGCTTGAGCAGGGGGGTTGGACTAGATGATCTCTAGAGGTCCCTTCCAACCTCAACCATTCTGTGATTCTGTGAAATACGTCAGTAGGTAAGTGCTGATGGAATAGAAAAGAAAGATGGATAACTTGAACAAAGGGGAAGAGTACATCAACAAAAAGAACAACCGCACTAAAGAATTGCTGGAGAATATACCTAATTCTAGCTTCAAGTAGAAGTGTCTGCCTTATTTGTTTGGTCACAGAAAAAAGCAGTTACGTAGAAGTTGCTGGTTTTAATGGAAATCGCTGAAAGTGAACGCACGCTAGCACTGAGGTTAATACCTACGTTGGCAGCTGTGAAGACAAACTTACACTGAAGGGTATGCTTTTAAGTCTGTAGTCTTAGAACACAGGTTGATATTGCTTAACTAATGAACAAATCATAACCTGTGATTGACACCTTGTATTTCCATATGGTAAAGCTTTTTTCTCACCTCAGTGTCTCTTCAGATTTTTGTCTTGGCTTGTTAGCAGTACAGACTTTGTCCAATCTCTCTCTCTGGCCACAGTATGTTCTCTCTCTCTGGCCACAGTGTGTGCAGGATCTCACCCCTAGTGTAATACTTTAAGCATCCAGAGATGTGCTGTGCCCAAAAGTGGAAGGAGTGCTGGAAGCAGCAATATCCTCAACTGTGTACACAGCAGCAACAGGACTCCACAGCATTCGGGCAGATGGAGGAGCTCTTGAACAGCAATGTACCAGAGGCACCCACTGGCAGGGTTTTCACATCGAAAGCTGGTAGTGCAACTCGCTATTTCTTCCAAATTCCGTCCGTCCCGCTGAGAAGGCGTTTCAGGACAGCAGACGTACAATTACCATTCTTACAGGAGATAAGCAGTTTCTGACTTTCTAGAGCAATGTACTGCTTATCAGTCACCAACTTCTACTTGTTTGCTGAACACGTTCTCTTGAAAGCTTGGCAGGTGTGCAAACCCCTTGCACTACCAGAGACTCTCTTGAGAGACACTGAATTTTTCTGCCCCTTCAAGCTCCTCTATGGAGGGAGCAAAATGGGTCAGGTTTGCTAGATGGGCGTTACCCTCTGTGTTTTTCACACACAATTTCTGTCTCACACAGCACACAAATTACCTGGATCTGATATTGGAAGGATTTAACTGTTTGGTATTTGTGACTCCACAACAAACAACTTGAACAAATATAATTAATAAAATAGTAGTAAGTGAATTTATTTGGAATCTCTTCTGTGAACACTGCAGAGAAGGTAGGGAGGAAGGGACCGAAGTGGTAGACTGAACAAGTGTGTTGTGAATGTGAAATGGGAGACCGAGCACACCTCAACATGCAGCAATGAGGGAGAAATCCCTCTTGTGGAGGAAAACAAACATAACGCACAGAAGGCTTGTGTTTTTATAGCCACTCTCTTACATGCACAGCTATTTGAAAAAGCAATTCTTGAGTTCTTGCTTAAGAGTATGTTGCAAGATTTGTTGTATGGTGGGGAGGGGGGGCTGGGTTTTTTTTGCGCTTAAATTCTACAAACTAAAGTACTTGAATTCACGCCAGTGAAGGAAGTAAATACATGCTCGCCAGTTTCTTGTAATTATGATGAAAAAGCACTGAATGACAACTTGCATTCAGCTAATGACCTTAAAGACTCTGGAATGGCTCTTAAAATAAATCTCGTTCCTAACTGAACGTTAGATACCAATTGACCAGGCTAAAGGAAAGTGTAGCACTTCTGTCTTTACTGCTGTTTGAAATGCTTTGGTCATGATCTATTTCAGTCCCTTATGGAGGACACTATGGACATGTGTGCTCAAACTTGTTTATAGGTATTAGGTTCCTATGTAACGCTTACGGAATAATTTTTCAGCTCGCACCATAAACCAAATTCCGCTGTAATTTGCGACCTGTGCAGTGCTTTGTCAGAGAATGTAAAATGTGGCAAAATTCAATCCCAATTTGCTGAAAATGTGTTTAGCCTGATAGTCAGCACAGTTGAAAATGTCTGTCTTTTGCAAAGTTAAACTCTTGTAATAACTTCTCCCCCATTTTGCTGCAAAATAGTTGTTCCATCTTCTGGGTACTGCTGTTAATTGTTTGACATATCACAACTGAGTGATATGCAAAGGAACAAAACATTACTAATTTTACTAATAACATAACTGCTCTGGATCAGTTCAGGTAGGAACAAAGAGTAAACCAATCGTTTTGCTTTAAATGATAGAGCTGCAAGACAAAGTAGAGTCAATAAGCAACTATGGGAAAATGTAGGGTAATGGAAAGGGTATTGCTTGTGGAAGACAGATCAGTGCTGCAGACTGTATGCCCACCAGCAGCCTACCCACAATTGTATTATCTGCATCCTATATGTATTTCCTGAGGCTTTTCTTTTATTTGCAGGGTGTTTCTTTAAGTGCTAGACAGACGACTACTGAAGTAGGACGTCCCAATTTCTGAAGGGAAGATGTGAATGAGGAAAGGAGTCTTCAGCACAGCAAATACAGTAAAGCAGAAAAAATCCTAACAAGGCTGTTTCTTGAGCCCTGGAAAAAGATAAGTGTTCCACTGCCCCTTCCAGAGAAGGGTCCATCTCAAGTCTTGTTGGGTTAGTTAGTGTCCCCTTGAAAAACAAGGGTACGTCCTTTGCTTTTGGGGTTTTTTTCTGTGTGCGTGTTAATCATCTTCTGTAGCTTCACATAGAAGTGTATGCGTGAATGTAGGAGATAAGTAGGGGGTAAAATAATGCAGCACTACCCCTTTCCTTTTCATTCTGTGAGCTGAATTTCACTTTACCATTTGGCCTTTGCAAAGAACATAAAGCTGATCTATATGGCAAGAAGTCATGTATATATTTGAATGTGGAGACACTTATTATTCGTATAGATCATTGATAGGCCATATGTTGGCCTATTATTTGACTATACAAATGAAGGGGAGGAGTCAGTATGCACGAACTCCATCAGTAGATAATTTGAGCTACTGAGAGACAGATATTCTTAGTAATCAGCATTACTTGCTCTCTGTTCCTGTGCATATACACACAAGAGGGATGGAATAAAGCAGCATCTCTGGCTTTTTGGAACCGCAGGTAACCAAGGTAGCTTGTAGGATAAAGAAAAATGTTTGCTT